TTAGAGTCATCTGGAGAGCTTTAAACAAACAGACAAACTTTATCAGACCCCACCCCAGAGATTTGTATGTAATTAGACTTAGGTGTTAGTGTTTTAAAAGCTCCCCCAAAACCAAAACTAAACCCTTTGCCATCAAATCGATCCCAGTTCTACCGGGTAGAACTGCCTCGTAGGGTTTCCAAGGAGCGGCTGGTGGATTTGAACTGCCGACCTTTTGGTTAGCAGCTGTAGCTCTTAACCACTGTGCCATCAGAGCCCCAGAAGCTCCCCAGATTAGTCTAATATGCAACCAGGATTGAGAACTACTCTGTCTATAGAGAAGTAAAACTTTTTAAAAAGGAAGAAAGGGGAAAATTAATGTGGAGGATTTGGGTTTATTTTTGTTTGTATTTAAAACTGTTGGAAAGATTTGGAACTAATTTATCTTTCTTGCTTTTTATCCCAGGGTCTCTATGGCAGTGTGATAGTGGCAGGAGGAAACACGCTAATACAGAGCTTTACTGACAGGTTGAACAGAGAGCTCTCTCAGAAAACGCCCCCCGTAAGTTCTGTTTGTTACTCAGTAGTATTCTTCTGTCATACGTACCCTCTCTGATGGTGTAATTTCACAGATAAGGGTTACTTTTTCAGTAGATTGGTATTTGGTGTATGCTTGGTATAGTATTAAAGTTTATATCCCTTATTTATCAAACTTTTCCTAGATATCCATTGGGTACTCTTGCACTGGATCAATCTCATCCAGTGATTCTATCCGTAAAGTCCCCACCCACCAGGGATCAGTCTCCTAGAATATTTAGACATGCAAACAATAATGACTCTGATGTGCTAAGTACTTCAGGACTTCATGTTGAACTGGGTGCCCTTGGGAACACTGAGAAGCAAGCACGTAGCTCCCTGGGAGTATCGGGAAAGCTTCAAGAAGAAGCTGTTGGAAAGAATGAAAAGGAGTTCAACTGGTTGGTGACTTATGAAGGGACATCCATGCGGAAGGAATAGCATGTGCAAAAGTATGAAGGGAAGAAGATGTGTTTCAAGAACTCAGAGCAGCTGACATACAGTTTGTGCTGGGGAAGCAGGGAGAGTGATATGGCTGGAAAGATGCCTGGATACCCGGTCATGTCTGATTAAGGAGCAGTTTGGATTTTATCCAAAGATAGTAGCAAACTTAATAAAATTTGGCAGAGGACTGATGAGCTTATAGATTTGTTTTAAAAATATCACTGACTGGGTGCAGCTGATACCGTCTAATCTAAAAGGATAACCTGGTTTGGGGGGAGAAGGTAATCTATGTGGTACACCAATAACAGAGTAGCAGTCATAATCAGTACATTTTAAACTATGGTGGTTATTTATAAGGTGTTCTGCACTAAACATTAAGTTTAGGAAAAAAAAACAAAACTTAGGGGTTTACATAGACCCTAACAGTATCTATACAATTTGTCTATTTGTCTTTTGGCTTCCCATATAGAGGAATGTTTTATGTATGTCACATTTAGTAGCGAACTTTTATAATAATTAAAAGTAGTATTTTAAATATTGATATAGGCATAAGATTGACAACTGCCTTATATTTACTCCATTTTTGGAGCTATAATCTGATCCAGCGCATACCTGAATTACAGTACTAATATTAGATTTCACCGAGAGGCTCTGAATAATGAATGCAGACCTAGGCTGTCCAAGGTACTGGTCAGGACCATTTGATGCTATCCTTGTCCCTTAGGAGGCAATTAAAAAACAATGAAATTACAAAATTCCGTTGTAATAGATATCTACCAGTTACTCATCTATAAGAACCCATATTCACCCCTCCTGCCCCCAGCATCCCCGCCTGCCCACACAGCATATTCTGTCCCCCCGCCCCCATTTATTTCACTGAACGAGACTCAAACCTTGTGTTTATTTATAGCAATTGGAAGGTGTCAACAACGTAAGAGCTGTCCTGCCAGGAAGAGTCCTAGATAGAAGAAAACATCTCCATATAGGAAGTGAGACAGGATAGTACTGAGTCATAATACAGTGTTTATCAAAAGAGTGTGAGTTTAAAACAGACACATTAATTTGGAGGGAAAGCGGCATGAACAAACACTTCCCTGAGATCTGACATCTAGACTGAGTTTTGATTTGGAAAGGTGGGGGATGGGGAAGGGGGAGAAGGTAGCTCCAGAGAGGAGGGATTAGGGTAACATGAAGGCCTAGGAAAAAAAGACGCTTAAAAGGTTGGGGAGGACTACAGAAAGGGAGGATGATAATTCTGTTTCCAAGGGTTGAAGTGAAATCATGTGTAAAGCATTTAGCAGAGTATCTGACTTACAGCAGTGTTATGTACATGCATTAGGTACATGTTTGCTATTACAGGATATAAATTGTGAATACCCTACTTTTTAGTATGCAGTTTCCTAAAAGTTTGTTAATAATTACCTTACTACATATTACACATTACAAGCTATAATTAAAGTACTTTAAAACTTTTTTTCTAGGAGTTCTAACCTATGCCTACTACTAGCCTAGTCTTCACCAAAACTGAATTTCCTAAATTGAGTCACCTATTTGATTTGATTGTACTAATAATGCTTTCTCTTCCTTCTCTGCTTTAGAGCATGCGTTTGAAACTGATTGCAAATAATACAACAGTGGAACGGAGGTTTAGTTCCTGGATTGGTGGCTCCATTCTAGCTTCTTTGGTTAGTAGATAAGCTACTGTGGAAAGCAGTTTAAGATTCTTACCGAATGGTTTAACTTACTTAAATGCACCCCTAAAAATAATTTCTGCATATCATTTATCTTTGCATTTCATAACTATCACGAGTGGAGGACCTAGTAAGAATACCAGTTTTACATGGTCTAATGTAACAAAAAGGAGCCTCGGTGGCGCAATGGTTAAGCGCTTGGCTGCTATCTGAAAGGTGGGTGGTTTGAACCCACCCAGTGGCTCCTTGGGAGAAAGACCTGATGATCTGCTCTCATAAAGATTACAGCCTAGAAAACCATATGGGGCAGTTCTAGTCTGTCACATGGGGTCACTAGGAGTCAAAATCCACTCAACGGCGTCTGACAACAACAATATAACAAATTGCCTTATGGCCTTATTGGTGGGTATTTGCTAGCCAGATTTCAATGTCTCCTCTCAAACCGAGGTGGAAAGCTGTTAACTTATTCAAGCCTCTCAGTAAAACCCTCATTGGCACTGGTTAGGACTTGTCTGCAGTATGTTTAAAATTAAATCATTCTTTCTCGGGTTCTGGTTGCTCCCTGGCTTGTTGGTGAGGTAGAGGAAGTCAGGAATTGGTTCTTGGGGCAAATGAAGAAGTAATGGTGATGGGTCTTACCTGCCGCTGACAGTGGAGCCTGCCTTAGATCGGGGGAAAGTCCTTGTACTTACCTGCACTCAGACCCATTTCCCGTTTCCTCCCAGAGCAGCCAAAGTAAATGTCACCAAGTACTTGGGTTAAATATTTTTAGGCTATTAAATGTTTGTAACTTTTTTCCTTGGTTTTATTTGCTGTCCATTTATGTATTTCTTGTCTGTGTTCTATTTTCATCTCCTAATAGAGATCAAAACTGGATTCCATATGTGAATCCACGTGAATAGAAGGTTAATCACAGTGGTTCGTCTCCTGTTTACATGTCCTGTTACGAGTGTGGTCCAGGCTCCTTCCTTCTTCGGTCGTTTTCCTCCCTCACCGTCAATGTGCGTGGTGCGGCGTCTGTGCACCGTCACGTGTGGGCTTGCAAAACCTCATCCCAGTTTTGATGAGCACTTTTGAGTTCCAAATGTTGCCATCAATCCAATCTTTTCAATTCTGTACCAGGATCAAGCCTTCCAGCAATTTCTGTTGTTGCCTTAGATTGGCACTAACTCATCCTAGCTAAGCGCTTCATCTTCCTTGCCAGCCATTTTCTAGATCCTTGTGACAGTGTAGCAGGTGTAGAAGCATTTACTATTCTTCCTAACCTTGAAGACAAGGCTAAATAGTGTCTTTGAGTGCTTTGGAGGAGAGCAGAAATAAGTTCAGGAATAAGAGTATTATTTTGGGGTGAGAGGGTTTGGTTTAAGAGTTCTTCAAGGATCTCCCTTTAGAAGTTGTGAAAAGAAAAAAAAAAATTTTCTAATAAGCCATAATGATATAATTTTCCTTTCCATTTTACAGGGTACCTTTCAGCAAATGTGGATTTCCAAACAAGAATATGAAGAGGGAGGGAAGCAGTGTGTAGAAAGGAAATGCCCGTGAGAAGAGTCCCCCAGCCCCTACCTTCCTGTCACCCGACGTTTCATAGCTTTAGTACACTCAGGAAAAGAATGACCATCTTTTGTAGAAAGTTTATACATTTTTGCATATTTCAATTTCCACTTAAATTTTTTAAGGCTTTAACTTGTTCTATAAATGAGTTTGTGCTTTCCTTGAGATGCACTTATTCTTATTACAAGCATTTTATAATTTTGTATAAATGTCTATTTTCTCTAAATATTTTGCTTTCAGTAAAATGCTTTCCAACCCTGTTTAGTATTTTAATTATAATTGCTTTTTATTGACTAGTGAAACTTACTGCCTATGCTTTTTACCTCAGGCTTACAAAATTAAATAAAAATTACTAGGCATTCCAGAAATACTTCTGTATTGTTGGGTGTTACGACTACTTATTCTGAAGCACTAAATGCATTTGTCATTATTCTGAGTGAAAGAATCACTGCTTATGAACAGTATCCAAATCTCTTTCACAGCTTATTGAAAACTGTGAAAAACCACCTTATTGCTCTTGTTGCAGCAGTTGACATCACTTTCACACTCCGAGCAGGTTATACTGCAGTTTGCTTAGATGTCAGAATTTATAAGATGGGAATTGAGTCTGAACATTATACCTGATTTTTTCTGGTAGAAGCATGACCACTTCCAGAATTAGCAGGCCATGTTAACGCTTAAAACGGGGGGTAAGTAAACAGTCATTTACTGAAAGGAAAAACAACAACATTTATTTACTTCTGTGTGTAGACTGTTACCCAAGGTAAAAAAAAAATGGTTAAGAGTTTGGACATCTTAGGCAAGACTTGACTTCTGGGCTTCAGAAAGATGTGGAAACTTTTCCTGAAGAATTTTTTCTTTCTTTTTCTTTAAACTTTTCTTTCTTGATTCAGTGCGGGCATATTTCTCAAATCTCAGTCTAGAATTAAAAAAAGCATAACAGCAATTTATACAAAACTATTTCTTGTTACTCAATACTACTGTGTTAAAATATGCCCAAATCAATTACTTAAAAGCCTTAATCATGCCAGTCTCTCTATTTGGTGTGCCATGTATGTCACTGAACTTGAATGATCACTGTAAACCCACACAAATCAAGAGAGAAACCTGAAATCAAGTACCTGTGCCCCTACACGAACTACCCTTCCTACTGCCTCACTGGAAAGAATGCCCAGCTCTCGTAAGCTTGTAACAAACTGGGCCTGAAGGACAATCCTGATGTGACTAACACTTTCTACCTTAGTTTGGAAACACTAATTGTATTGCATATGTTAGGTCTCGGACATCCTGAGACCTTTGGACTTTCTAATTTCAAACAGCACTCAATCAATTACGCTACAACAGAGAGAACAAGCCAGGCTGAGACAACGACTCACCACTCTGAGTTTGCTCCCCCAACACATCAGCATCCCAGAGTGTGAAGCATTTCTGCCTCAGCTGAGTTATGCTGAGGGTCACTTGGGAATCATCAAAATTGCAAATGATAAATTCAGGGATGCCGAGCCTCTACTGCATCTAAATGATACTTTATAGGAAATGGCATTGATCATAAGCATATATTTATAGAAGATATAACAATACAATTAGCAGACATATTCTGAATTACTACAATATGCCAGTGCTATGGGGGAGGTCATGGAAATTTGGGATTAATTTTTTAAAAAGCGTTATATTTGGGTGAAGACCAAAATATGCATACAGAAAATAAGAGCTCCCCTTAACGAAGTCAAAATGAGATGCCATCCATCTTTGCTCCAATTAAATTCTGTCATTTACAAAAATAAAGGTTCGTTTTTAAGAATGTTCAGAAGATGATGCTGCGTGGTCTGAAGGTAGGGTTTAAAAAGGTAGTTTCAAATACACACTCACTAGAATATGTACAGATCCTATAGAGGTGACACTGATAAATTCTCATACGTTATTTTAAATATGTTACAGCGTCACCTTATACGACTAAGGGGCAAAACGATCAAATGGTACAACATTATGCTTGGAGAAAACGGCCAGTGCAGTTACATTTCTTCACTTGTTAAGCATCTGAACTGGATCTTAAAATGTAAATAAGTAGTGAGATCTCAAATTCTAGGAACAGGAGGAGCGTAAGGGGAAACTGAGTAAGACACGTTTAGGAAACGAGAAAGGTCTGGATTTGATAAAGCGCAAGTAAGTAGCTTGCTTACAGCCCTGGTGGTACAGTGGTTAAGTGCTCGGCTGCCAACTGGAAGGTCGGCAGTTGAAACCTACCAGCCACTCTGTGGGAGACAGATGTGGCAGTCTGCTTCTGTAAAGATTTATACCCTTGGAAACCCTATGGGATATTTCTACTCTGTCCTATAGGGTTGCTATGAGTCGGAATTGACAGCAATGAGTTTTTTTTTTTTTTTTTTTTTTTAGTTTTAAGTATCTAAGACTAAATTGTAGGAGGGAGTCTGGATTTTATTCTGTAGACAAGAAACTATATTCTTGAACAGCACTGATGTGATAAAAAGATTTGAGGAATATTAGGCAGGAAGCACTATTTGAATGGACTGAAGAGAGGAAGCTGTTCAGTAATTCAATTTGATAAAGAGATTTCATTAAGGTAGAAAAAGTGGGAGAAGAAAGGAAGATTCTGAAGATGTTTTGCAAGAAAAATTAACTCAAGGACTGATTGTATCTAGAGAACTGAGCATTAAAAAGATGACTTACATTCACTGCCCACACAGATTGGACATATTGTAAATAAACTGAAATGGGGAGAGATGGCTGGCCGGGTGGGTAAGATGAAAATTTTAGACTGTCATTCTATAAAGCTCAGTTTAAAGATATATTCTGTTTCTGTTTACATGGTTTTTTAAAAGGTTTTTTTTTTGTATGAATATAAGCTTTTTTGGGTAGGGGGATGACAACAGTTTTTGAAGCTCTCTTGGTAAGGCAGTTGTTACCAGCTGTGGTCTTGTGGTGCTAGGACTTCCCCTTTCCAGCCTTGAATTCTGGTCTCTGGCACCTTAGTTAGCAAACCCTGCAGCGCCTCCACTCCTTGTCATTTTCTGCAGTCACAGCAGGGGGATGAGCAGCACCCTTGGCCCAGGAAACCACAAATTTGCCATTCATTCCCCTTCCAGCTGCAGTTTTGGGGATCAGAATTCTCAAATTCTAATGGACTAGAAAAGAAATATGCAAGTCTTTAAGTCTAAAAATTGCACAATAAAGTCTGAAGAATAGCTTTAAAAAAAATCTATGATCAGAGCAAATAAAAAACATATCTTTGGTTATTTTCAAAGAAAAATGTAGGAGATGGAGGAGAAATGCAAAAATTGTCTATACAGTGTTTCAAAAGTAAAGTTTGATGAGAAACAGGAGAAAGATGTAAAATAACTGAATACTAGTAATAGATAATATAAGAGATTTAAAAAAAAAAAAGTTGAGGTCTGTTTAAACAGCTTTACACACATAACAGCCCCAAACTGGAAACAGCCCAAAGGCCCATCAACAGAAGAATGGAACTTGGTACATTCTTCCCATAGAATATTGCTCAGCAATAAAGAACAAAGACATACTCTACAACAAGTGTAAATCTCACAGATAAACTGAGCAAAAGAAGCTGAAGATAGATGGAAAAACCAGAACAGTGGCTGTCTCTGGAAGACGGAGGGGCTGGGTAGGAAGGGGCACTAGGGACCATTCTGGAGTGATGGCAGTGTTCTCTATTATAGGGGTGAGCTACTCAGGTGTATGCATGTCTCAAGACATCAAACTGACTGCATTTCACTCTGCAAACTTTACCTAAAAAAATGAACACCCCTCGGGGAGGGAAAAACACTAAATACTAGATAAGTGGTAACTTTGGTGAAGGGTAAGACAGTACACAATACTGGGAATGTCAGCATGACTTGTCCAAGACAAAGTCAAAGAAACTTCACAGACACATCCAAACACCCTGAAGGACCAAGCTACTGGACTGAGGGCTGGGGACCATGGTCCTGGGTGACATCTAGCTCAACTGGCATAAGATAAGTCTATAAAGAAAATGTTCTACATCCGACTGAGTAGTATCTGGGGTCTTAAAAGCCTGCAAGCAGCCATCTAAGATACATCTACTGTTCGCATCCTGGCTGCAGCAAAGGAGAATGAAGCAAACCAAAGACACAAGGGAAACATGAGTCCAAAGGCCTAAGGGACCACAACTACCACGGCCTCCACCAGACTGAGTCCAGAACTACTAGATGGTGCCCAGTTACCACCACTGACTGCTCTGGCAGGGATCACAATACAGGGTCCCAGACAGAGTGGGAGAAAAAGGTAGAATAAAATTCAAATTCCTCCCCCGCACCCCCCAAAAAAAGACCAGGCTTGCTGGTCTGACAGAGACTGGAAAAACTCCAAGAAGTATGGCCCCTGGACACCCTTTTAACTCAGTACTCAAGTGACTTCTGAGGTTCACCCTTCAGCCAAAGATTAGACAGGTCTACAGGGCAAACAGTAACAAAGGTGAGGAACATGCTTCGCAGTTCAATCACGTATACGAGACTAATGGGCACACCAGCCCAACAGCAAAGACGAGAAGGCAGGAAGGAAAACTGGGCAAACAGATACAGTGGACTCAGGGTGGAGAAGGGGGGGCACTGACACATCGTACGACTGGCAACCGATGTCACAAAACAATCTGTGTATTAACTGTTTAATGAGAAACTAATTTGCTCTGTAAACTTTGACCTAAAGCATAAAAAAAAAATTAACATGCCCATCCCCCCCAAAAAAAAACTTTGTTAGTTGTGAAAAACAGTTGAGGCTTTCATTGTTGTAAGGATTTTTAAAATATTTTAACTTTGCTTCTTGACTGAAATATGTTTAGCACACAAAAGTGCTCCATAACCACCATCTAATAAAGAATATTCTTCAAAATTTTTCTTTTCTACATGCATAGTGGCTTATATCTGTACATACTCTCCTACTTTTCACCTGTACATACTAGCTCGTTCACCGAGTTCCAGCTACTCTTCTTCTGATGTTAAAAAATCCCACCTAAGACTCAGAGGATCCCATAAGGATTCCCAATGACAATCTAGGAAGAATTAAATGTGCGAGTGTCTCTAAATTCCATTCTCTTCAAGATGCACCACAGGATACATTAAATCCTAAAACAACTGTATTCCTGACAGGGCCAAAGACCACCTAAAATCCTTTTTAAAAAGAGGTGAGACGTACCACGGAACGCTGCTAATACTGGGGAGAGCCTGTAAATCCCCTCTACATCCAGTAACAGAGGACTGACCAAAATAACTTACGGACACATCACCGAATAAATGCACGCATTAAAAATGATGCCACAGAGGACTATCGACATAAATACTCAGCATCGAGTGAAAAAAGAAAAGCTAATTCAGAAACAGTAGATTCAGTGTTTTATATGAAATACACTAAAGCCCTGCAATAATGCACTCCAGGACAACACAAATTCAGACATATCACAACATGGTCCTCTCCTCTCCCTAACCCATCTTTTCATTTCATCAACCTTGTAATAATAATACGAGCTCACGTTATACAATTAAATTCCTTGGACCCTCATTTTAACATTACAGTAGAATTTTACCATCTAGATAGACACATACCATAGAAAGACAATAAAATTTTTGAAAGGATATAGACTAGAATGTTAACAAGGGCTACTTCTGATGGTGAGGTTATATATGACATCACTTTTCTTTTTTACCTGATTTTTAAATTTTTTCCGTAATAATCATGTATTAGTTATATAATCAGAGAAATTAAAATTTTAAAAAAGCCGAACAGATGTCATCGGTTGCAGAGATGCTATGCTTCATCAGAAAAGGTCACTGTGCTCACCTGACGAAACGCTCCACATAGGGCATGGCGAAGAAGCGTTTCCTATTGTATCGTTTATTCAGGTACCAAGGTATAGGCCACTGCTTGAACTTGTGCCTGCCCAGAAAGCAAACAGTTACCACCTTAGAGAAAACACTGAATACACTTTCACTGCTTACGGACAGTTTTAACTTTCTTTGGACTAAATATGTTTTCAATAAAATGAGATGCAACTGGCTTTTTATAAACTTTTAAAATTTTCCTAGTTTTAAATTATGAAATGGTCTGAATTTAACAAAATGTATAAATAATATAGCAGACACTCATGAACCCACCACAAAATTACACAGATGCTAATATTTTCTGATCTTTGTTTCAGAACACTTAAAATATATATATATATATATATATATATATATATATATATATATATATATAAGTAATCTCTGACATTACTGTCGTATGTTCTTTCTGACAGAAAAAAATTTGGATGTAATATTTTTAAGAAGGAGCTCTGCATTTAAAGGCTACCTTAAATATTTTAACATAAATAGGGAATGAGGAAAAAAAAGGTATCAGGATTATAATGTGAGTTAAGTTATATTGGAAAGATAATATAATTACTATGCTCACTACTTTGTTTAGCTCTGGAAAAGTAAAAAAGCAAAATTAAAAACCTTACAAAGAACAACTCTCCCCTCTACTCCCATCTTTTCCTATTTGACCTCAACCAGATGAAAACAAAGAAAAAACAGTAGAAAATAAAATAGATAAGAATTTGTAGTGAGATGTTTTTGGCAATTTATCTTTTCTGTGGTGGATTAGAGAGTGAGAGACAGTACAGCTGTCCCTTAAACTTGGCTCCAAGCAGACCTATTACCACAAATTCCATACAAGACTCTATCAGGTGAGTAAGCTTCCATCATGCAGTGCAATTTCAAGGGTATGGAGAAGCTCTTCCCAAAACGTCTTCCCCATATTGCTGACTGATATTTAAAATTCTACTGATAATGCTTCATTTTGGTTGCTTAACTCAAATGTAAATAAATCCCCAGGAGAGAGTCTAAACTGGGCCTCTCAATTATTTATGCCTCAGTGTGAATGTTTAGTATCAGGTCCTTTTACAAGGTCTGACAGGACTACGGGAACTGGTCGTAGGAGGAAGATGAACGAAGAGAGAGACTGGGGAGTAAAATAAACTCTTCCGTGATCTGGCCTAGGGCTTATCCTGATGGCAATGGGAGCAAACTGAGACTGGTTCACGAGGCTTATTCCTCTAGAGCTTCTTTTCCAAGGTTCTTAACAGGCAAAGAGGGCATGTATGTGTCTTGAAATTAACTTCACGGAAACACGTGACCCTCTGAAATTTTATGTGTATAGGTACATTTTTCTGTGGAAAGGATCTATAACTTTTATTAAATTCTCAAAAGGTCATATGGTCCGTGTAAGACTAAGAACCACTGTTAAACTTACAGACCACTGAAACGTGGAGGTGGAGTATCTGGGCTGGTATTGGTTTTACCAGCTAAAGCTACCCTCATTCATAAGCTGGAGTTCCAAAGGGGTTTGGGACCTCTGCTTATATTATATATCTCATATGGTGAGAGTTTTCTTAAAAGACATCGGGAAGAGGAATGAGGTATTAGATTTCCACTCTTGTAAGAACCACAATGTAGTCAATGTACCAGATGATTCTTCCAAAGATGTCTCTTCTCCAAGCACCAGGTCTAGCTTTTTCTTGACCAGTCTGAAGAAGCCTTAGGGCATCTTCTCTTTCCTGGACAACTTTATCTAATGCATCCATGGAATCTACTACCTGAGAAGAGAAGGATGCAATTCCAACAATTAACTACAACAGAATTCAAAAGGAAGCAAACATATAAAGACTTGTGCCACAGAAAACTTATGGTGAATATTTTTGTCAAAGAACCATTCTGGCAAATATTTCCTGAAAATCTTTTTGGCACAGGTACACGTACATGGGTGTCTATAATATCACTTACTGTAATTTTTTTAAAAAGTTTACAGTTTCATTTAAATGATAATCAGTTTAGCTCAGACTTCCATATAGTTTTGGAAGGAGTGAGACACACTTAGAGAGATTTCTTTCGAAGACCCAATTTAACTCATTACTTCAAAACTCAATGAGCTATTAAGAAGTGATAACAGCTTGTTACTTGTGCTTATTAAAAACCATGTTTTGGCCTCAGTGAATCAGTGGGTTTTAACATGCAGGCACAGATATTTTGGCCTGTTTGGCAGCTGTTGCTATTAGAGGGACAGAAACATTAGTCTATCATGATACTAGAGGGATCTCCGAAGTTCCGTCAAGATTCAAAAAGATAATGTTAGAACTTCTATTTATTTTCATTTTCCTTTAAAGATTTCTATCGTGTATTTACTTTATAATGTACGTAACGTATTAATACAGTGATACACATATATTTGTTTATAAATATCCATATAATGGAGATCATAACATCAGGTAAGCTGAACTTTTTCATAGTTCTAAATACCGAGAGCCATTTTTAAGTGGGTATGTGTGTGTCATCTTGAGCACCACCAACAGATATCAAAGACGGCATACACACATTTTTTTTTATAAGAATACTCAAGGGGACTGGGGAAACCCCCAAATCTATTGTCCTGAAATAATCTTTGATCCCTGAACCAAAACAATCCCATGAAGTCATCTGTAAACAAAACAACAGTTTAGCTCAACTAATGAAAAATGTCGGCCTTGAACATTTCGCTCTTTAAAGAATTATCTATCTGCGATCAAACTGACAACAGTAACTCTAAAGCACAGGTGAGAACTTTAAACGGCGGTGACACAACCCGGGCAGAGACAAAGACTATGGTGACACAACGCAGAGACCGTAACCGACGGCAGCCCTCTGTACGGGCAGACGCTGCCGGATGGGTACAGGTTTTGTTGTGTGTGTTGCCACAAAAAAACTCAAGGAGAAAGGCAGATTAGATTATAATCTCCCTGAAAGCCTCAGGATTTGGCTGAACCACCTCATAACCTATTTATCAGCTCACATTCAGTACTTCTGTTATCCCAAACTTCACTCCATGCCTTGCAGTACCTGAATTCACATATCTTCCTCTCATCTACATGAATTTCTACACAATCCTTGAGAAATAAAACATGGGTAAAAATGACAAATCCTATTTTTAAGATAGACAAATTTAGGAGAGTGAGGGGACCAGACTGGTAAGGGCCTTACTCGTCAATACACTTAAAAGATTCTTTAAGATTTAACTGTCCTTAACAGCAGAGTTAGCATATATATCTGACAATAAAATCAGATTGCTTTCTTTACGTTATGTAGGACTGAACATGCCTACTGCCGAAATCTGAGTTTCTAAATACAGCATTCTCCAGTAAAAGAAATCAGGATTCCTGTGTAAAATGGCCAATTCCAGGGCTGGGGCGGGGAAACTCTGCAATGAACCCGGAACATCCTGCTGTGCCCCATCAAGGAATCATGAGCACGCCAAACAGACACAAGGGCAGCCTGTGACGACTCCAAACTGGGATGATGCTACTGAAAGATTATAACTCACTAAGTTAAACTAGAATCCATGAAGCCAGACTGGAAGGAAGGAAGGAAGGGATGAACGAGGGAGAAGGGAAAGCTCTTCCTTACAGAAGAAAGCCAACTAATAAACGTAGAAGGAATGATGGAATTAGAAAATCACCATTTGGCAAGCATCGTAATAATAAATGATTCAGGCCAGAATCATCAATGGATGCTAAAACTAGCAGATGAAAGTTGGAGGAGTTACAGGATATTTGCATAATCTCAAAGAAACTCCTCACGAGAGACTAGATACCAAGAAAAAACCAGGACAAAGCGGACAGACGCCTTAACCAAGTTATCGGCGCTAGAGCACCATCGGGAACAGAGCACACTGACGTCCTGTGCCTCCTGATATGAAGCAGCGGTTAAGAGTACAGCGCGACTTGTGATATTCCCACCAACTGCATCAGGAAAAACACCAGACAAGCCCAAACTGAGAGACACTGCACAAAATAACTACTCTATACTCTTCAAAAATGTCAATGCTATAACACACACACACAAAAAGACTAAATCTCCAGATTAAAGGAGACTGAAAAGACATGACAGCTGAATGCAATGCATGATCTGGGATTTTCTCTTGCTATAAAGAACATCGTTGGGATAATTGATAAAATCTGAATAAGATCTATAGCTAGTACTGGATTAATGTCAATTTTCTGATTTTGAAAATTACGCAATGCTTAGGTAAGAGAATGTCGTTATTTTTTGGAACTACAGATCCACTTAAGCATTTATGGATAAAGGGATCATGTCTACAACTTACTCTCAGTTGAGAAAAAAAATAATGTGTGTGTGTATGCATGCATGTATGAAGAGAAAGGGAGAGAGGGATAAAGCAAATGTGGTAAAATATTAACATGGGGAATATGGGTGAAAGGTATATGAGAACTCTGTACTATTTTTGTAACTTTTCTATAAGTCTGAAATTATGTCAAAATTAAAAAAAAAATATTATGTAACTCAATTTTCACTAAGTCAGAATAACTTTCTCCATAATCATGGTGAACAGCTGAGGTTTTACTCTATGCCTTCTTGGCCTCTCTCGGGATGTTAGGTCCCTCCCTCTTAGAAGCAGTGTGGTTATGACAGGTGTGGGGACAGGAAACTAAGCGAGCTGAGGTCAGGCAGCAGGTCTGAAGCTATTTCACTAAGCTGAGCTCTTTCTCACTGACTGCTTCCTATGACACAGAAAATTCCATAAACTGCTGACTCAAAAGCCATCTAAAAAAACTGACACATCTGACTAACACAAATATACAACTTCTACATAGAAAAAATATCTTAAACATGTGTAGCCAAATGGAAAAAAAGAAGTAGGTCTGCATATGAAAAGATATCGACTTATACTAGGGAAATGACAAATGCAAGCTACAGAAGAATACATACACTATAATCAAATCTGTGTAAATAAAGTTAGTCACACTTCTATACACACAGAAACTTTCTGAGAAACAAGAAACATTGAAGAGTGGCTACCTCTGGGAGTAAGAAGGGACCCAAGAGATGTTTTTTTTTTTTTTTATCATGAAGGAAACTTAACTTAAAAAACAATTGACTCGGTGAAGAAGTGGAAACACCATAAGTGGAAATTTACCAAGCAGAGATAAACACAGATTTACCAAGCAACTTCACTCCCCAGAGTGAAAGCGTATGTTCCATTAAGAGAGTCAGTTAATTCAATTAAAATGTGCTGGGGGCTGGGAGCAGGAACGGGGAGTGACTGCAGACGGGCAATGGGGTGACGAAAATGTTCTAAAATTAGACCAAAATGATTAGAACTCTGTAAATGTACTTAAAAAATCATTGAATTATACACTTAAAATGAGTGAATTTTATGCTATGCTCATTATACCTTAATAAAGCTGTTTTTAAAAAAAATGATCAAAACTGCCTACAAATTAAACAGAAATAGGGAGAAAAAGAAAGAAATCTACCTGACAACAGATAGAGGAACCATATATTCCTCTTAGTTTATACCCACACAACAGTCCCCAAGGCCTTACCTTTTCTAACCTCTCTGGACTAGGCATTGGCAATCTCTGCCGCTTGGCCTCCTGCTCCAGAGTCAGGAGCATGTTCCTCTCTTTCAGTAGGACATACCTGTATCAAAGAACACAAATCCTGTGATGCTATCCCATGGTTAACAGACATGTGACTGCTGACATTAACATCAATCACCTGCACTAACAATCCCTTAGAAACCTCAATTACCAAATATCAGTACAAAGAACAACACTTTTATTGGAAAAACTTTCACGTGCCACATATCGTATTAAGTGTGAGAAGAGTTTTTAAAAAGCATAAAACAGTCTCTACATTCCAAATGAAGAGAGAAAAAAAGATGGAAGAAAAGTAACATTTACTGAGTACCTGTTATATGCCAGGCAGTGTGCTAAGCATTCTATACATGTTACTTCATTTAAATCTTTTAATAACCCTTTGGGTTGGTACTGTTTCTACTTCCTAAATGAAGACACTATGGATGAGAAAAGTAATTCAGGAATCAAATCCCAGACTGCCCTTTCTATGTTTATTCCACACACTGCCTGTGAGAATATAATTGACTGTGGCATCCTGAGCGATACAGACAAGTACCAGGAGAAGGGGGAGAGATGAGACACCTCTTCTAGCTACGACGATCAGGGAAAGCTCATGGAGGAGACGCTACGACGATC